CTCCTCATAGAGCCCAGCCTCTCAGATAATCTGCTCTGCATACAGGTTGAAAAGGTATGGAGATAGGTTCATCCTAGAGAGGGTAAAGCCAGGCTGCTCCTTGAAGGAAAGGATTCTGAAGCTTCATCTGACATACTTTGGACATATTGCAAGGAGGGACCAATCCTTGGAGAGGGACGTCATGCTTGGGAGGATAGAGGGATAGCGCAGGGGAAGAAGACCCTCGATAAGGTGGATTGATTCAGTGACTAGCATAATCATGGTAGATGTGTCAGAGACAGTGAAATTGGCACAGGATAAAGCAGGTTTAGGGCTGTTGTACATAAGGTCGATATGAGTTGCAGGTGACTCGAGGGCACATAACAACAATAACAATAACATTCCTCCTTCACTGTTTCCCACTTTTGCAATTCAGTCATTAATGCATCTTGATTGCATGTTGGGTCCATTTTGGACTGCAAGATACGGTAAAAATTCTCATTTTCTTCCTCTTTTGCTCTAGATGTAGAAGCATGTGTTTGAATAATAGTCACTTTAACATATCTTCCTTGTATGAGTATAAATTTTATTCTAACACTCACAACATTGTATTTCAAGATAGAATTTGAAATTTACTTTTTTACTATGAATGCAACACCATTCTTCTTCTGCTTTTCTTTCTCAATGGAGTATACCATATGATTATCTGATTCAAAGTGGACAAAGCTAGTCCATCTCATCTCATTAATGCCTAGGATGTAAATGTTTTTTCATTCCATTTCCTTTTTAACAATCTTCATATTTTCAACATTCAAGCTACATATATTCCATGTTCTAATTATTAAATGATGTTTGTTATTGTCTTTCCTCATTTCAACTGACTTCCAATCTGGGCTCCACTACTTCATTACTATAACTATCCTCATCCCTCTAGTGTTCACAAAGGTATTCAAAGGCCTGTTCTCTAAGAATTGGATGGCCAATCCTAATTCCTAGTCTGTCCCAATCTGGGAGCTCTACCAAACCTTGTTGCCCATGAGTAATCATTATGGTATTTGAGACACCAAAGGCATACCTTTAAGTATCACAGCAACCTCAAATTACCTCAGTACAGCAAACTGACAGACTAGTCGGACAGACAAGCTTGAACAATGTTTCCCCCAAACACAATTAACACCAGGCCTTCAGGATTGCAGCACAGTTTCTTGCCACTAGGCCTTTGAGGAGTAACAAGTTAATTATTGCACCACTAACTAACAGGTCAGCATTTGGAAATTAGTAGCTACTCCTCAGCAGCAATATGGGCATTCTGCTTTCATAAAGATTTATAGCCTTGAAAACCTAATCAAGGATTGAGCCAGAATCAACTTGATGGTAGTATATGGGTTATTAAGCACTATTGTCCAGTATTAGGAAAAAGATAACAAATACACTATTAAAAACTACTTATCTTTTAATATTATATTTTAAGATTACCCCCCCAAAAAAAATCCCATTAGTCAATACAAAATATTTAATGGTACATTTTATCTGAGATTGTAAAACACTGCAAAAATTTTGCAGTTAATTGGTTTAAGCAAAGAGACTTCTTTTATTGGCAATATTACCTCCGATGTTCAATTTGGTGAGTTTGTGCTCTTTCTTCCTCTTTTTGCTGTCGCTTAAACTCCAGAAATTCACTCTAGGAACAATAAAATTTTTAAAATATGGTTTTCAATTAACATGGTTGAATAGAAGACATCCAACTCAATTTCACATTTAACCTTAGCTAGTGTAATATTTCTCTTTTGAAACTTCTACTTAAGTGCCATCTATGTAAAATTATTTTCTTATAGCAAAAATAATTGTCGTAGAGTTAAACAATTTTGCTGTGTGCATGAAATTGTAAATGTAAAAAGCCAATGTGCACAGTCAAGATATTAGACCAATAAGAATAACACATACAGTGGAGAAAGCACAATGTGAGTCAAACTTACCCATATCTTACCAAAAAATTGTATTTACTCAGGTTCCTGAAGAATGTCACACAATATTGTTTCTTCATGTTTGTCTAGAACCTCTCTTCCATTAAATTTATTATTGTTAGGTGTTATTGAATGAAATGCAGATCATAGTGACCCTAGGTACAACAGGACAAAACACTGCCGGACCCTGCACCATCCTGGTAATTGCTTTTATGTGTGAGTCCACTGTTGTAGGCATTTTGTCAATCTGTCTCATTAAAGGTCTTCCTCTTTTTCCAATGACCATCTACTTTACCAATTACAATATCCCTCCTCCAGTAACTGGCCTCTCTTGATAACATGTCCAAAATATGAGAGACAAAGTTTCACCATCTTTACTTCTAAGGGCATTATGTTTTCTTCCAATGCAAACTTGTTTATCCTACTTGTTTATGCTACGGCATAGTAAAGTCAATATTCTTCACCAACTCCATCATCCCCTTTATTCATTTCCCACCTTTTGTATGCATAAATTGTTGTGATGGTGGTGGTTGTTAGATGCCATCAAGTACAACGCATAATGACCATATGTACAGCTGACCTGAACTCTGACCTATCCAGAACCATCCTCATCAGTTCTAACATACAAGAAGCCATTGCTGAAGTCATCGTGTCAGACCATCTCACTAGAGGTCTTCCTCTCCCTTGCTGACCATCCATCTTTCCAAGAATGATTTCCCTTTCCAAGAAATAGCTTTACCTAGCTGTCCAAGATATGAAAGAAAGCTTCACCATCTTTGCCTCCGAGGAGCACTCCATCTACACTTTTCCCAACACATTATTTTTGTTGTTATTGTTCTTTTGATAGTCCATGGGCTATTCAGCCCTCCTCTCCAGCACCACAATTCAATGGAGTCAATTTTTCTGTCATCCTCATTCATTATCCAGCTGACTAAAATACGGCGATGTGGGTCAGGATACCATAATTTTTTTAACACTTTTTAAAAAGCTTCTTGGTATCAGATTTGCCAAGTGTAAAATACATTCTTTGATTTCCTGACTGCTAGTTCCTTGGTGTTGATTGTAGACCCAAATAAAAATGTAATATTTGACAACTTAAATATTTTCTATTTACCATGATGTTATTATTCCTTAGATGGGATTTCTAACTTCTAACTTGCTGAATTTCATTTCAGAAGAGATAACTCCCAGACTCAGTTCTTATGCTCTTAGTATATCAGGGACCCATCAAGTTAGAATTGACACTTAGCTGACCCTCCAATTGATTTTGAGAGGCTGTAAATTACATGAAAGCAGGCTGTCCATTATTCTCTCAAGGAGTTGCTGATGAATTCAAACTGCCAGAGGGATGCCACCTTTTACATAGTGATACAACTCTACCCACAAGACCACCAGAGTTCCTTACCAGGGAACTGGGTCCCAGGACTTCCCTAATATGTAACAATCTAACACATGACAATGAGTTTTAGCTGCACATCATGACATAAAAAGCAGAGAGAAGAAAACTAACTGGCCAAAGTCTTAACGTAGTAATCGAAAGCTGCAATGGTAGAGGAAATAGTGTCACATCTTGGCAAATATAGGTTAATTGACATGTGATTTTTAAATTCCAGAACTCATTTAATGAACAGTATAAAATAAATCCAAAGTTCAGATTGATATTCAATTTTATGCAACTTTGTTTCAAGGCTTTTTTTAATTTTCTGTAGTCTCCAAAACCAAAAGACTAGTTTCTTATTTGTTCTACCCTGTCCTGTAGGGTCACTATAAGTCTTGAACTGATGCAAGGGCACAAACAAAAACAAATCCCTGAAGCATACCATTTCATTACTATCCTGATTATTATCAAGAGGGTCCTGGTGGCACATTTATGTGTGTGACTGCTAACTGAAAGACTGGCAGTTTGAACACACCTCGTAGATTTACCGGAGGAAGAACTAGTCATCTGAGCCCATGAAAGATAGAGGCTACAAAATTCTATAGTTACATGAGGAGTTATGGCCTGGAATTGACTCGAGGGCACCTCACAAGAATCATCATCTAGTGCCAACAAGGGAAAGTGAGAATTTTCTAAATAACTGAATAATATTCATTCATTCACTAAGTATTTAATAATCAACTGTCTGATATCAGGCCTTGTACTACAGACAGACTCACTGTCCACAATGGAAAGCAAAATCCTCTACCTTATTTTCTATTTTATCACTATAATATCTGTAAGTAATTTTAAGCTGTCAGTCTAAAACTAAGGTATATCTGATCCAGAGCATGGTCTTCTCAATTGCTTGCTATGCATCTGAGAGCTGGACAATGACTAAGGGTGATAGAAGAAGAATCAATGTCTTTCAGCTGTAGTGCTGGAGAAGAGTATTGAACATACACCATCAACTGCCAAGAGAACAAACAACTTTGTCCTAGAGAGAGTGAAACCATTAGTTCCTGGGAGATAAGAATTGAGAAGCTCCATCTCTCATACTTTGGGCATGTCACCAGGAGGAACCAGTTCTTGGAGAAGCATATCATGCTTAGAAGGGTAGAATGTCAGCACAGAAGAGGAAGACTGTGCATGAGATGGATTGGCACAGTGTCTATGGCTATGGGGTCAGGTGTGTTAGAAATGGTCAGGTGACAGGAGTACAAAACGAAGGCTGCATAGTGGAGTGGACCTGGGGGGAGGGGTTGTAAGACAAGAAAATAATTTTTCTTTTACTTTTCTTTTTTTTTTCTCCATGTATCATGATGTTGCATATTAACTTTTTTATTCTTAATGATAAAATGTAATTCATATTAAAGTCTTCTGCAGTGTTTCAAGTCCTCACGTTCAGCAAGCATGGATGTATTATTTACATAATGCAGATTGTTGATGAGTCTTACTCTGATCCTGATGCCACATTCTTCTTTGTAGAGTCTAGCTTCTTAAATGACTTGCTCAGTGTACAGTTTGAACAGATTTGGAGAAATAATATAGCCCCAATGCTCACTTTTCTTGATTTTAAATCACACAGTGTTCCCTTGCTCTCTTTGGACAATAGCTTCTTGGTCTACATATAGATTTCATATGAGCA